TTTAAAAAAATTTATAATTAATAGTTATACTTTGGACTTTTAACAGCTCCTGTTTCCTAGTATTAAAAGTCTCTAAAACTTGTGTCAAGAGTTTTTCACTACTACTATTACCAAAATAAATCTTCTGACTTGGATACCAAATATGCAAGGAAGTTTACCAAAGAAAAAAAGCTTAACTTAAGGTACAAACCAGCATAAATATATTCACTTCTTAATATTTCACATATAAAGCCTTTGTTGACAACAGTACTTAATAAAATTTACTAGCATTTTGAAGCTTTTAGGCTTTAAAACTTCAAACTGCTTTTGGTATGGTTTTGGTTCAAGTAATTGTTAGAAAGAGAAAATTTTTGTTAAGTTATAAATATTATTATAGCAAATTATTTTAATTAGAGAATTGTTATTTTCACTATAAAAAATTACTATTTTCACTATAGTAAATCACATGTACTATAATTATTCTCAAGGATTTCTGATCCTTTTAATTAAACCACAATATTATGTGATGTATATTCTAGAAACACATGTGATTGCAAATAATTAGCTAGAATTTTGTATAATATAATACGAATAGAACTGCTTTCAACAAATAAACAAAATCTACTACTGATATTAACTAGACATTGTACTCTATATTTACATAATTCAGGGTTTATATAACAGCAATTTATATTATGTATAGTAGGCAACAAAAGTAATGCCTAATTTGCAAATTGCTGTATGTAGGCAAATAAAAGTGCTGTGTTTACTCTATAATTTCATATTTTGGGGCAATTTTTTTTTATTTTTTGCTTCTTTAATGTCAAAAGAACCAAACACAACAAAAAAAAAACTTTTTTTTATAAAAATACCATAAACTCAAATAAATGATAAAGAGAAAGGAATGATCCTTGCTTATATTAGTTAATGAGTGCTGAACAAGTTGTCTACAAAATTGGCCGTAACCTAATGATAGTTTGAAGATTCTTAGCAAAGTACAAAAGGACCAAAAAAATTGCAAACAGATCTTGGTCTGGACATTTTTCTGCCTTAAAGAAGCAAAAAAAGACCGCTATATTAAAAAAGTATTGGTGGAAAAATGCAAGCCCCTGTGCAGCATTATGAAGGATTTAAACTTTCAATATAGCAGACTGTAGTTAGGGCCCTATACAGCTTTGGGATTCATTCCCATGTTGCTGCCTTGAAATTTTTTTTGTTTGATGAAAATATTAGTGGACATTTACTACTGTAGAAGTGTGATTTTTTCTGATGAAATGAGTATAGAAATAGGCAAACAATCTTGCCAGATTCGAGTATAGTATAGTACAGATAAAATATATAAACATGAGTGTTTGGTACCGAGTTTTAAGAGTAGAAAAGTTTCTGTAATAGTGTAGTTATGTTTTGTCGATGATATCAAAGATCTCTTAGTTTTTTTCGATAATTACAAAGCTTCTAAACAAAAAATTAATAAAACATTTATACCAAGGTTCTTGATAACAACCTCGTGCTATTTGTCTCTGCTATGCGTCTGTTAATTGGGTCAAATCTGATTTTTCAGTATGACAATGTTTCCATTTATAAGGTAGTAGATTGGCTAAAATCAAAAAACATCAATTATATGGATTGGCCATCACGATTCCAGACCTTAACCTGATAAAAAATATCTGAAAGATTTCAAAAGACAAAATTTAGAATCGTGAAGACTTTTTAAGAAGTAAAGATGAGCTTAAAGCAGCCTTAAAGAAGGTGTAGTCAAATTTGAATGTATTGATTTTTTGGGTAGTTGTAGACTCAATGCTATGAAGAATCGACACAATATTAAGTATAGGGGGTCAATCAGTAAAATATTAAATAAATATAAAAAAAAATTTTGATATATATAGGGTAGAAATCAAATAAATAAAAATTTTATATTTTTGTTAAAAATCAGATATTACTTTTGTAGGTCTAATCTTCAAATACTAGCTCTAAAAATTAACTTTAATGTAATTTATACTAGATTTAATCACCAAATACTAACCCTAAAGCTAACTCTAATGATCTTAGCAAAGTTTGTCCATTTGGCTAGTATAATCATTTGCCTGGTCATAATATATTTAAAATATACTTTATAAAAGCATAACAAAGTATTTTGAATACTAATATGTATATTATTTATTAAGCTATATATAAAAAAGTTCCTAAATTTGTATGTCTGCTGCTAATCCAAAATTATTATCAAAAAGCTTTGGGTTGAAAGAGGTGTTTAGTTGGGTAAATATGTAATAAAATTTTGGAATTAGAACTAGATTTTTATGCTTGTTAGTTCTTATAGCTATTTTTTTGAATTGTAAATAAAGTTTTAGTTTATAAATATGTATTAGAATATATAGTTAGCACATTATTTTTATTGCTTCACATATTTACAATAAGTTTTGTTTCTTAATATATTTATCAATTTATTTGAGCTTTTTCAGAATTCAAAACAAATGTATTACAATGAATTATATAAACGCACTTATGCTACGTAATTTAGGTATTCATACTTTTATTAAAAAAAAAAAATTTCTTGCAAAATTTTGTATACATAGTATTCTTTCTACTATTATCCTAATGCTCACCCTTACTCTAATATAAATAAATAAATACTCAAGACTGATTCTATTCCAAAAGATCTTGATTATAATTATACATATAATACATATATATGAATTAATTCTGAATTTCTAATATTGTGTTAATTCAAATATGTTTTCTATATATAATACAAGTTATTTATATTAATTATTTGATGTGCTAACCAAAAAAATTATTGAATTAATATTTATTGATTTGGCCGATCTGTGAAAAAGGATGTTCATAATTATACTATGCATATATATATATAGAATTGTCAAATACTATTATTCAAGTGCATTTTTTATAATAAAAAACTACTTAGTATTAATTAGAGTATACTAGCTAAAAAAAAGTAAATAATTATACCAGATTAATAATAACAAAAAATGTTCATGATTATATGATATATATATATACAGAAATTTTGAATTAATATTCCTATACTAATTGCTTAATAGCATTAGTTATGCTTGGAGCATGCTAACAGAAAAAAGTAAAAATAATTATAGTTTTTATAGAAATCATTTAGCCAAATTGATTATGTTAGTTTAGTTATTTATGTTATTTATTAGTTTAGCTGATAATTATAATATTTTTACTAATCATTTTAAAGTAGTTGTAAAGAACATACCCAAAAATAAAGCCAAAAATGAATAAAGGCATAAATAGTGCTTTAAGATGTAGTTTGAATTTTGAAAATATAAAATGAGCAGCTGAAAATTGACAGTAAAACCAATCTTATCAGATTAAAGATAACTCAAAATATCTTGTTATATCTAATAAAAGTACTTTAAGAGTCATTATAAACCTTCATTACTAAAATCTTTCTGTATTAAATTCGGTTATAAAATTGTTAATAATATCTTTATTATATTTATAAAGTTTTTATTACAAATTATTATTGATTATCTTGTTATTTCTGAAAATATAAGAATATGTCTTTGTCCCCACCTTTAAAAGGATTCTTTGCAAGCTATGATAATCTTATAGCTTATGCCAAAACTTTTATCTTTAGTTATGGATATGCAGTAAATATTAAAAGATTCAAAACAGATAAGTTTGTTTACTTGCGATATAACAGAGATGGCAACTACAATGAAAGAACAAAGGTTACTAATAAAACCTACCAGAGAGCTTCAAGTATATGAGCAATGGATTGCTCTTTTGAGCTTTATGGAAAGATGATGAATGATGGTTAATAGCATCTAACAATAAAAAAAGCAAACCACAATCATATAGCTTTAGAAGATATTTTAGGCTATCCATCTAGCTATCGATTGAATAAAGATGATTATCAAAAAGTCAAGAAAATGTTTGCAGCAGATGTTAATCCTCGAGATATACCCTTTACTCTTCGTCAAAGCAACCTAAATAGTTTAGCAATCTCGAGAACTATTTATAATACTTGATATAAGATTTAAAATAAAAATTTTCAAGACCACATACCAATCTAGACTTTTTTTAATAAGCTTGTTGATAGAAATTTTGAATATTATTTTAATATAATCAAGATAGAAATTTAACATATCTTTTTTTTGCATATTCAAAATTAATTATATTTACCAAAATATATAATTTAGTTCTCTTAATGGATTGTATATACAAGACCAATAAGTTTAAAATGTTATTGCTTCATATTGTTAAAATAACAAGTTTTAATACTACATTCTCTTTCTGCTTTGCATTCTTAAAATCAGAGCAGAAAGAGAATTACAAATAGGCCCTTACTTGTATTTTTTGCATTTTTGATAATATCTCTAAATTCAAGTTATTATGACTGATCATAAATTAGCTTTAATGAATGCTATACAAACAGTATTTTCAGAATCATACAATCTTTTATACATTTGGTATATTGAATAAAATATACTAGTTAACTGTCAACTTCATTTTCAAACTAATAACAAATAGTCAAAATTCTTAGAAAACTGGTCTGACCTTATAAAATCCAAGAGAGAATCTGATTTTGAAAATAATTAAAAAAAATTAGTAAAAAAATATATTGAAAAAGAAATGATTATTAAATATTTAGAAGAAATATAGTTATCATTTAAAGCAAATTTTGTAAACTATTAAGCAGACCATTATTTGCATCTAAGTATTTTTTTTTTAACTTTTCTAAATCTTTTTTTTGTTTTAAAATTTTTCCTTTTGAATTCTTTATTTTTTTGTCCCTTTTACCTAATGGGATTAAGTCTAATATAGATAACTCCTCTGGCAAGATTTCCAGTATAGCTAAAATTAATTTAAACTCTGATTATTCATAAGATTACTCAATTACATAACTGTAAAATTTTAGCCAAAATCATATACCAAGATATGTTTTAGGAACTTTTGCTGGAGAGTTACCTATATTAGACTTGACCCTTCACTACTTTTACTATTCTTCCAGTTTTTTTTTATTTTAACATTTTTTTAGTTCTTTGTTTTTTATTTATTTAAATTGTCTTGATATTGTAGGTAATGTGATGATGTTACAAGTAAAGTGAGCCTATTCGATATTGAAAATATATTTTCAAGTATCAATGGGTGATTTTCATATTGTTCACAAAAAAATTTCTTTGGTATTAAAGAACCAGTATTAAGAAATTAAAACCAAGTCTTTCCAAGAGATGATTCAGATATCCTAGGCTCAAAACAATCTATTTTATACACAGATCTTTTTAAAAGTATCTATGTTCGTGTTAAAGAAAATTCATAAACAATTTTTAAAAGCGTCTAATATAATATTGAAAAATCTATTATGGCCTTGTAGTGGTATTTTTAAATCATTAATAGGCCTATCTTGTTTTTATACAATTCGAAAATTTTTTGATACTGATAAATGTTTATAGCTAGATGACTTCTATCAATATTGATAGATCTACTAATACCAATTATTTCAACAAGAACCATCTGAAACTAAAGATTCATTACATCAAAAATAGGAAGATTATAGTTAGCAATTTGATTCTTTATTGCTTTATTAAAAAGTACGACTGTAGAGAAAATGTCAAGCTTGTTTCAAAAATCGACTGTAATTATACAAGATTCAGAGATACAACCCACAAGAGGATATCTAGTGGGTACAAAAAACTATCTTTAATTTTTTATTTTTAATTTAAATTTTTCCTTTTTTGTATTTTATTTATATTTTTCAATTATTTTTTTTAGTTAATTTAATTTTTTAAAAAGGATTTATTTTGGCACCGCATACAGGTCATATGATTTGACATCAGCCAATTAATTTCGATTATATAAATACTGAAATATACTAATATTTAAAATATTTATTTATTAATTTTACTAAAATTTCTAATTCGGCCAATTAAAAACAGTATAATTCAAATCAAAAATCTTACATACTAATATTAACAAAAAATTCTTTACAAAATTTCAATAGAATACTGCATACTGCAATAGCTCTATCACTATACAAAAAACTATACTATACTACTATAACAATAGATTAATAAGGTATACCAGGAACAGAGTGATGAGTATCACAGAGTGATAAATATCACAAAGTATATGGTTATACAGCAATTTAATAGCATTGCTCCACAAAATCTTGCAATTGATTGGGCGTTATTTTGTATAATATGAGGACTTGAGTGCAGATTTGATTTTTTACATAAACTTTGTCACTAGATTTGTGACAGTGTCTAAAATTGATGAATAGCTAAAATCATATCCAGTTAGAGGTTACTTTTTTGATGCATTTATGGCTATGTAAATCAATATCTATGATAATCTCGTGTACGAATTTTCTAGTTTATTACCAGTTTTTTTTTTAAAAAAAAAAAAAATAATATTGTAGTTAAGAGCAAACTGTTTTTGATAATCAGTATAGTGTAAAGTTGTTGTTTAGTAGTGAGAGGTTATTTTTGCTCATTTGGACTCAGCAGCTAAGGCAATAATTGAAATTTGGTTTAATAGGCTAAATGATAATGGAAGCAGCTGAAATAGCAGCATAAGAATATTAACAGTAGTAATTAAGCTCCGCAGTTGCAGTAGTAGTGCAAGAACCTCGTTTGGTAATAATTAAGTACTGCAGATATAGTAAATTTTAGCAATGCAAGGACCTTTGTAAGATAGGCTTTGGGCTTTGCAATTGCAAAATTCTATTTGTTGAACTTAGAAGTATCTTTATCATTTTATAAGTGACTATATAATCGATTCTTTGAAGCTACATAGATCTCCCCTCAATGACCTGTCCCTCGATTGCTTAGACATTATAATTTAATCAGATATTATAAGAAAATTTTTTTAGGCTTAGTAGTTTCAATATGTTAAGAGTGGGTTTATAACTAGTTAATTTGAATAGTATTGTTTACTTTGAAGATATAATATTTAGTTATAGAAGGTTAGGTCTGTAATGATAATGGGCAAATTTCTATTTACTTTTTATAGTATTTTAATAAAGTCATTTGTCATCTGATTGAGCAATAATAATTGCATTCTTGATAGATTAAATTTCAAATTGAGATAGAGATTGAGACACCAATAATGCTATAGTTCTGTCCGTTATGAACTGTAGCATCATTGTCAAAAATTTCTTGGCATGCGGCACTTTCAACTTTTAGTAACTTTTATTAATAAAGAAAAAAACTAATTAACAGAAAGACAGTGTATCTGAAATTTGCTAGCTAAAACAATTTTAATAAAATATATCAAATCGAAATAGTTAATTAATATTATTTAAGAACTGTAGTTAAAATGGATGCCAGTCAAAATCTTGACAAGTACAATCCCGACAGGTCATAATCCCAACAATTAAAAATCCTGACAGTCAGAATTTTCAAATAGAAATTTAGTACAGTATATTTAAAGCAAAGTAGCCTCTTATACTTTATTTAGATAAGGGTTATGCTAGATTTAGCTATAGTTTATGATATTTTTCATAATTTTCAAAATTTTTAACTGTCTGATTTTGGCTATTAGGATTTTTTATGTCAGGATTTTTTTTGTCAGGATTACTGTATTAACTTAACTTTGCTTTATAGTCTAAGAACTTACTTACCTGGTAACTAAAATTAAAATATTCACTTAATGAATTAAAAATTTATTTCTAAAGTCTATTCTTACTAAATTTTCGGTTCTAATATCCTACGAACCTAATAGCAACATAGCTTAATTTCAATATATGCTAAGTATTAGTTATTATATTAATTAATTAAAAGTAATAATTTTCATCTTTCCGGTAATCTTATTTTTTTACTCACATATATTATTCAAACCTTCACTTAACCACTTAAAATCTAAAGGCAATAACTCTTGAATATCCTATTTTGTTAAACTAAAGTTAAAGTTAAAGCTAGCAAATAATACAAGTGACTAGTTAAATAAATAGTAAGGTGAACTAAAAAATAATTAAAATAAACTTACATATCTTTGTGATTTTTATCGTCTTACTATCTATGTTTATTGGCTTATATGCTAATGAAAAACACATAATACATAATCTTATATAATATAGATTAATTGTATTAAACACATTATTATATATAGTACAAATTTCTATTAGGTAATTACACGGCATGACAGACATCGATCATATGATCTAACAGATTTTAAATATCTAGAAATATAGTGTCCTCAGCTATGCTTCAGACAATAATAAACAATATCTGAAAATACCTTCTTTGTTTTGAATACTTGCAAATACAAAATATTTTTTCTTTCAAAACTTTTGCCTATATTTTTTGACAAAAAATAGAAAATTTGGCAAACCCCCTTCAAAAGATTAATATTGTTTACCACTTCCATATCAGAAAACTATATGATGACAAATTAATATGTATAAAATAGACAGTACCAGTGAATATAGTAACTAGCAGGTACTCTGATAGAATATCTTGTATATTAGTTGTTTAGAATATACAAACACATATAGCCACCAAAAGTGAATAGCAATAAGGGGGCTTCCAGAAATCAGCTAATTAGGGTTTACTAATAAATCATTCAAACCCACCCCACCCCTCATCTGCTAGCCAATCAGATTTCATGTTTATTAAAACATATAATTAAAATTATATATAATATTTAATATTAAA